CAGACTAGGACCAACTAAATGAGAACGCTAAAACAAGGTGGCCGACACTAACCCCAAATGTTTTGAGTTCCTGATGTTCACAGGCATTGCTATGAGCAACTGCTCAAATTTTCTTACATCCCACAGTCAGCACTGGGACGGCTGTCAAAAATCAGGCATTCTGTGGTATGGGAAGGACAATCCCCGCTGGTCATCTGGCCATCTCTTCTCTCTCTCCTTCCAATTCCATCACAATGATCTGTGCAACCCCTCAGGGCCAGCAAAGGCCTTGTTCCCCTTTCTCCTAAGTAAGGAAGCCAACGATGTCTTACCCTCACTTCTGCTTCTCAATTTTCTCTACATCTGCTCCCAAAACTTAACTTTTACCCTTCTGTTTTGAACCTTACGTCTGTTGATCAAGTTAAATAGCCAAGGCTTCTTCACTGCTACATCCTCAGTAAAGGCCATTCGCGCATGACAACTGAGTGGCAGGAGCAGAGCATCTGGATGGGTCTAATCTCAAACACTGACATCCATGTAACCACTAGAAACAACTAAAGGGGAAGTGACCCGCTGCTCGGGGCCACCACCCCTCACACGAGACTTTGCCAACTGGACCCACAGATCTGCTACAGGCACTTAGAGAAACAAGGTAGACAGAATCACAGTTCAAGGAGTCAGGACCATGCTGGGTAAAGGCTGCCAGCCAAGGTCCTATCCCCACAAGAGCCATCCAGGGTAGATGGTATTATCCATCTGCAGATGGGGACACTCGAGGAGGTTAACTGATTGTATGGGGTCGCAAAGCTACCAAGTGGCAGCACCAAGTGTCCTACTCAAGTCCATCTGACCCTAGACCTATGCTTTACCTTTGTGCAAGGTAAAACACAAGGCAAACGCTCTTAGAAAGATGAGCACATGGGGTGCCTGGGTGGCTCAGTCATTAAGCGTCTGCCTTCGGCTCAGGTCATGATCCCGGGGTCCTGGGATCGAGACCCCCATCGGGCTCCCCGCTCAGCAGGAACCCTGCTTCTCCCTCTCCCACTCCCCCTGCTTGTGTTCCCTCTCTCTGTCAAATAAATAAATAAAATCTTTATTAAAAAAAAAAAAGAAAGAAAGATGAACACAAAGCACCATGAAGCTGGCTGGGCAGTCAGTACTTGGATGCAAGTGGATATCCGATTATGCAATTTTTCTTTTTAAATTGCACTCAGCCAATCATATTTTACTTTTTAAGCAAAAAGCAACCTTCTTTAGGGGTGGAGAAACACTGGCTGAGAAAAAGTACAAGGGAACTTCCTGGGGTGAAGGAGAGAATCTGTACCCCGAAAGTAGTGTGGGTTACAGGGTGTGTGCTCATGCCAAAGTGATCATCCTATATATTTAAGATTGGTGCAATTCACAACATGTAAATTATACCTCAATTCTAAAAAAAAAAAAGCCTGTGTGTACAAATACATACATATCTATAACTACATGATCCGTATTAACTACATGTGATATAAACCCACTAAAAGATAAGACTAATTATCTGGAAGCCCAATCTCAACTAAAATCAATTATTATCATAGCAAGTAGAAGAAAGTTCTTAGTTCCAAGCTCCCTCAAATAATACAAGGGAAAGTGATCTCGAAGAGTCCTTCAATCATTTTCCCTGCCTTCAGGAAGACATCAACCATTCCACAAAGTGTTGTCATCTATTTTGTTTTGAGCATTTAAACAGAATTCCAAATTGGGGGAAAAAAATCTTTGAGGAAGTCTGCTTACATCATGGAGGCTGTACTGATGTAAGGAATAAATAAAAAAAAAAAAAAAATTTAAGGTCGCCAGTAAGTTCCCTTCCCACACGAACCTGTTTTCTGAAGCACAAGTGAGTTGTGCAGTCACACCAAATAAACCCTATACCTATTAAGATCTCTGCATTATTACTCTTTCTATTGCTACAAGAACATAACACGTTTAATAGCAAAAGAGTTAATAAAAAGCAAAATTCAAAAAGTAGGGTTGCAGTTATTATTCTGCCAATTATCAAATCTGCTATCCGTCACAACTGTTTAAAAGAAGTATCACATGAAATGTAACTATTTCAACAGTTTCTCCAAATATCAAGTATCTAAGAAGCTCATCTTTCTGAAATACCAGTAATCTATGTAAGTTGAAGGCAGGTGGTGTCTGGAGTGGAAAAGGTTTAAAATTCAGTATTTTCTGTCAGGTAGGGGAACTAAGTTTCCCATGCTGGCGAGAAATGGGCATCATTAGTTCACTCAACACAGACGGAAAAAAAGAGAAACTCTCTCTTCCTCCTCCAAGACCAATCCACAGTCCCAGGACACAAGCTGAGCCCACCTTAGCAGCGTTGGCGTCCTTGAGAAGATTTCACGTTTTCCAGGTCTGCTAAAGAAAACGTCTTTAGCCCTGCCAAGCAAGCAGTAAGCCCCTTGATTGTACCTTAAAGGGAAGGAGAATGTTTCGGCTCCTTTGCATTTTAAAGGCTACTCTTTCATGATCTTTCACACTTGTAATAGATGTCTAAACCGTTAAATTACTATTTCTTTTCTTAGCCTGAAAGTCGATGCAGACGAAGAGCGTGGCCTCTCCCATTGTTCTTCGTCCTGAGCGGGTCCCTGAGTGATACTGACAGCAGCTATCAAGCGGGGGCTGCATTTACTCTGTGCACAGCTGCTGCCTGTAGGAACAGACAGCCTCCTGGAGCCTTCTCCCCTCTGGGGAGACAGGTTGACACACTGCATGTTCAATGAAGGGGTGCAAAGGTCCACTGAATTGTCAACCCAATTTTATGCCACTTCAATTTTCCAGGACACGCACAATTCCTTTTGAGCAAAAATCAAGCATATGCCAGAGCATGAAACTTACGGTGCAGGATAATTATTGATCACTACAAATTTTCAAAGAGCCTTCTGACATAAATTAATAGACTGAGCCAAAAATTTACAATTAAGAAAACCGCACATGCTAGCAGGCTGAAGACATGCAATTGGCGTTAAGTCTTGTGCTCGGGGCCCAATTCCCTGATTTGGGTTATTGTTGCTAGCTATCAGAGCTAATCTGCCTTTATAATCTCAACAACATGTTTCCTGGATGAAAGCCATTCATAAAATTAGCGATTCATCTGCCCTTCTCAAGCGACCTGCCATTTTCATTTTCTGATTCAGTTCAAAAGGAGTCTTACCTACAAACATCTGGTTAATACAATTTCCTCCTTTCTAACGTGTGGGACTGGACAAGGCCTTGGAGAATTTACGGGCGCGAGGTTCACCATCGAGAAAGGATATGTAAAAATCTAGAGACTATCAGAAAACAAACATGTTCCACAAAGTGTAACTGGGTACTTGAAAACTGCTTTGCATATGTTTCTCTTTAATCAAAACAGGCTTTTCCATCCTCATTCATTTGGGTTAAAAAATTTCTGTGCTCGAGCTACAAGTACAATTTGCTATTAGTCTTTGCTAATCAAACACGGTACATGCAAAAGTACCAGTGAATATTTGATTTGATCTCTGAAATAAAGCAATTCATTACACAAGAAAAGGGTACAGAAGGCAGTCGACAAATGCAGATGTAATTGTGTTTTTTGTTGAATGTGATTAGAGAGCCCACTAAGTAACAGTCAAAAATGTGATCTAAGGGGGGGGCGGGAGAGAAAGGCAGAGCCTGGTTCTGGGGGGAAGAGGAGGAGGGGAGAATTGTTTATGCAGAGCTAAGCTGTCAAGTGTAATAAAGCAGCTTGAATAAAATTTAAGCTGAAAATCCACTGAAGCTCCCCATTTCAGGGAGGAAAAAGCTATTAAAAGGAAATGAAGGTCACCCTCCCACTTTATTTCACCTAATTGACTGCCAATAGCTTACCACAGGCAACCCGACTGCAGATCGGCAATTGAGAAACTGATGAAAGGAGAGTTTTCAAGCTGAGGCTCATTCTTTAATCCTCCTCGGCTCTTATGTTTTTTCTCCATCTCCAGTTGGGATGTAATTTTAAACCCTGATGGATTAACTGGTTCCATTGTCTGTGGCCGTCATTGGACTATGGCACTCTTAATCCGTACAGCAGCATGTCTAATTATCATTACAAAGTGTCTGAGGGAACTATAAAGACCAGCAGGGCATCTTCTCACAAGCAATTAACATAAATTGATAAATGAGTGATTTGAATCCGCTCAAGGCACTCACATATGAATAAAATCAGAAAGGATGGTCCCTTGTTTCAGCTACTTCTTTGGCTTAGTCTGGAAGGGCAGAAAACATGAGAACCGTCCCGGGGTCCCTGGGCCTGCAGCGGTGAGGGCGAACTCAGGGGGATGTGGTGGGGGGATGGGTGGGGGATGGGATGGACACTGGGCTCATTAATGCAAAGCAAATGACCTGTGATTGACAACCAGTCGTCGGCGTGGAGCGCTAACTGAACTCAAGGCAGGAGAGCAGAAACCTGGTGAAAAGCTAGAGAGCACTGGGGCAGACAATTATCACTTCTTCAACGGCAAGAGAGCGCTCTTTCCAATGGGGTGCCACTTAAAAATTCATGCAAGAGGCACAAGGAAGAGAAAGAGCAAACAGTTCTCTTGGGTCTAACATCCCAGAAAGGAAAAGCCAAAAGCAAAGATGGCTAAAGGAAAGGATCACGCTGAGATATGTCTTGACCAACCTGTGATCCAAAGTTATAATAAGCCCGAAGTAAGGAAAGTATTTAAAACTCTAACCTGGAGCTTTTTACTTGACTAAGAGAGCAACGGTGGTTTAAGTGTCAGGGTATAAACTGTATCTATTTTCCCACTGAATAGATCTATTTTTCTTCCCCTCCTAAAAATGTTTCTATCACCTTCCTTATGCTCATCTGTCTTCCCCTACACACCTTGCATACCTGAGCCCTCCGCCCCCACCCTTACGGACAGGCCAACGTTAAGCCTACAGGACATTATATATACAGATAGATTAAGCCATCAAATTAATAAGAAATGAAAGCTGGTTATACACACTGTAGGAGGTAGACCTGGTAGGCCACGTACCCCGATGATGGCATTCAACTCTGCCATGGTCACCTGCTTGGCACGCTCGACAGCCTGGGCCACCTGTTGTTGATGCTTTGAAAATAAGGAGAAGAATAAGTGTTAGCAAGGCAGCCAAAGAACTTCACTGTACCTTCCAAAAACAACAATAAAAATATAAAAGCATATGCAATGCAGATTCAAGCAGAATATGGATTTAAATGGGAAGTTTCTCAAGCACGGATTATTTCACAGAACACATGTACAGCAGGAAAAGGAAAACAGAGGACAGGGCTTCCCTTATTTCTAACCAACACTAGTTCCCACTTCTGATGGGAATTTTGGGGCTGGAATGATAGAAAAGTCAAAGATGACGTCAAAATGGTAACCGGAAGCCTTAGAAAATCATTGGTATTGGGGATCTGGAAGATGACCCAGGTTTGCAAAAGGGGTTCACTGTTAAGTTTGAGCAGGGAAAGTTGACAGCCAGTTTAAAACCCCCATTTCTATACTTAAAATTTAAACATTCAATCTTTGATTTCTTCTCTGGTCAACAAATCTTAACTCGCCAGTAGTTTTTGGGGATTCCGCTCCTTCTTTAGCCTTAAGATTTTTTATCCTCCTGAGGGGAAAAGGAAGGATTCTCTCGCCCACCAACTCTTAGTTCACAGGCTGAGAACACTCTCCATGTCTCCCAACTCCACTCACAAATAAAAACAAAGCCACATCTTTGCTTTGGGAGGCATGAGACTGCAGCAGAAACCAGTATTACTAAAGTCTAACAACACCATTCCAAAGACCAACACATCTAAAGTGTATCAATGAATAGACGTTACCCTGGAAAAGGCAGAGAGAGGAGACCTGCTACCCACTCTGGAGCAGCAGATTCCAAAAGGAACAGACACCCGGTATTCTAGCTGTGGGTCCCAGTAAGCTTTTCACTGTCTCAAGATACATGCATCCTGTACACACTGAACACACAGTTTATCATTTACTAGCTTGTATCCAAAAGTAAACTTGAAGGCAAAATTAAACTATATTGGTTTTGAGTCCATTTCACAGATCACTCATATAAAGAGCTTTTCCCACGCAGACCTGACTTGATGTACAGGGACAAATCAAACACCTGCTTCCATGGTCAAGTCAACCCTGATGGAACCATTTTTAAAAAATACAGTACAGGAAAAGCTCTCTAGAAGGACACTTGAATCATCAGTAGCTTCCCAAGCTTATACTACTCCTCAAAGAAAAGCAAAGCTTTACGTTGCATCGTCATTTTGCAGTCTTCCATGGGAAAAAAAAAAAAAACATTAATTTGGGGTTGAGCTATCGACACCATGTTTACAGTGTGCCCTCAGCTCTGTGAGATGGGATAGCAGGGGGTTTACTCACTTCAGCTGTAGCAGATGTTCTTTACACTTGTTCCTTGTGATAAAATTAACATCTTAAAACTAGCTAATTTGCAAACAGAGAAGCAACATAATTGCACTTTAACAGCTGAACAGTTTTACTTACTTCCTGAGACAGAAATGGGATGACTTGTGCACAAATTGTATTCAATCTCTTGGCGATTTCAGTCTATAAAGACAAAGCCATATAAATGTTTAGTATACTTCATAATCAGTTCAGAAAGATAAAACATCATACCCAACACTTTAGCCCTCCACTACCTCACTCTTGAGGGCATAAAATTGCTTTCCCAAGCTATGTTGCTAATATTTATCTTCAGATAAACAGTAGATATTAATCCCATTTGCAAAGTAAGACATAATCACACGCTTTATTTTATTGGTCACTTAAAGAAAAGATAATGGGTAGTTTGAGTCAGAAAATCTACATGGCTTAAGGCTACATGATCCTTTAACCTGGTGAGTGCAAACCCCCTCGTATGCTTCTTCAGTTATGGTGTACTACCGCATTTTTATGTCGTTATAGCAAGTTCATTCCAACTGGTGTCAGAAGCCAGTGGGGCAGGGGCACCAACAAACTCGGTCCAGCCTTCAAGATAAGATGAAGAGTGAGAGAGCAGAAGAAAGGAGCCCACGGACCACCTGCCTGCTTGTCCCAACTCTTACACAATTCAAATGGGACCTTAACATTAATAGCCTTCACTGAGTCTCACTATTTCTTTTTTTTTTAATAATTTTTTTATTGTTATGTTAACCACCATACATTACATCATTAGTTTTTGATGCAGTGTTCCATGATTCATTGTTTGTGCATAACACCCAGTGCTCCGAGTCTCACTATTTCAACAGGCCAAGAAAACACTGCTGAAACAGAACCCATGGTCCAGCATGAGGGTCAAATCGAGATGTGCTGTGTTATCTGTCGAGTTTCACCACAATGCAGCAACAAATGCAAGCACCTTGCTGAGAGAGTCCCATGGGTCAGCTGAAGGTCACAAAATGTGTCCTGAGTGTTTGTGGCACAGGCTTTTGTAAAGAAAGGTGGAGAGGTCCCTGCTCAGTTCCAAATCCACACCATTCCCTCTGCTGCAAGGGACAAACTGGCCAAGGGAGGCAACAAGAGTGCTCTGTTTCCAGCCTAGGGTAGAATCCACCTGCCCACCCGTCCTCCAATCTCCTCCTGCAATGGCAAAGCAGCTCTACTTTCCTCTAACTCTGAAGAACCAGTTCTGCTTTAAAAAAAAAAAGAAAGAAAGAAAGAAAGAAAAGGTCATCTGAAGAGTCCTAGCCTTGACCTTATTTATTTCATCATTTTCTGTCAATGCTTACTGATGCCACCTCTATTACTGAATTAGGCAATGAAAAGGAACATGAGGAGAAGAAAATTATGAAGCATACAGACCATGCCCTTGAGAAACAGAGAAGAGAATAAGTAAGATGAAGCAGAAAACTCAGAAACTGTATAATCAAGTACATTAAAAAAAAGCTGCCTTCATCCTCCAAGATGATCCTAGTTAACTGAGCAACAAGGCCTTTGGTTTTCAGGGATGGGATTTAGGCCCAACCAACTCAATTCTCCCTGACCACCAATGAGATAGGGTTTCAGATCTCACCTTGGAAGAAAGGGGGAAATGACTGGTACTGAGAGCAAAACCATGACCTTGCTTTAGCCAGCGGGGCCACAGATCTATGCAAAAAAGGTGCAGCTGTACCAGGTGCAAAAACAGAACTGTGTCAGCCCCACCCAGCTCATTTGATCACAGCCACACACTCAAGCTAACTCAAGGTCATGGCTCTCCTCGAAAGTATGGGCAGGCTTCCCCTTCCTTTGCAACAGGAATATTTATTTGAGTACATGTATAGGAGTAGGGATGCCCTTTGTGGACTTGTAGGTTCTTATTCCTTACTCCCCACCTACTGTACATTCCAATACCATTCTGTACTTTCCCCTTCTCCAAAATTCACATTTAAGGTCCACTTTTAAAGAGGATATATGCTCACTTTGAGCATACACAGGCACACAACGAGATATATATACAGAAATATAAAAAAAAAGTCAAAAGAAACTCAAGTCTATCATCCAGGGATAACCACAAGTAAGATTTTGGTGATTCTGGAAAGGATCATTCCACGCTCTCAATGCATACATGCATACAAGCCCAGAGTAGAAAGATATACTTCCTACACCAAGGGGTCCCATTATATACATGGCTTTTCTATGTTATTTCCACCCAAAACTGTATTATGGATACCCTCCCACTCAATAAATTACAAAGGTGAATAAGAACATCATTCCACTATATAAGCATAGTGGTGGTTAAGCACTCCTGGTATCAGTGGATATTTACGCTTGATCTAATTTTCCACAGTTACAAACTCTGTGTCAAATAGCCCTCTACATAGATCTCTAAAAGTAATCGCTAGAAGTGAAACTGCTAGGTCAAAGGGTATACATGTTTTACCCTGTAATGCATGCTGATAAACTGCCCAGCAGAGAAGGTTACCAATTTACTGTATCACCCATCTATGCGGGGGCTTGCTCTCCTACCCAATGTCAATACTGGGTTTTGTTGACCTTTTTTTTTAATCTCTATCCACCTAATAGATTAAAACAATGATCTCATTTTTATTTGCATTACTTAGATTCTTCTTGAAGCTAACTAAACATCTTTTCACATATTTACTAGTCCACTATTTTCCTTCCTTTATTTTCCCCTTGGTATTTATTCATCACTGTCTTCCTGTCGTTCTTTCCATATGACAAATATCAACACTTTCCATAGCTTTTCCAGCTTGCCACTTGTCTTTCAACCTTGCTTACTGTGGATTTGTTGCCAGAAGTAATTTTAAATTTTTATGTGGTCATTTACTAAAGAATATTTTTCCTATGTTCCTGGCTTTCGGGTCAGGGTTAGAACACCCCAAAATCGTAGGTGCCATTCTTAATTTTCTTCCTACTGCTGCTAATGGAATTTACTTTGGTTTAAGAAGAAAAGATGATCTCTATAATAATGATATGTGTTATTCCATAGGATGGCTTCAAGGTAGAACTGAACTGAACTGTCAGGGGACAGTGAAGACCCTGAATGGAATGAACTCATAAACCTTTAATAATATCAGAGATCCTAAAAACAAAATAAAAGAAGTACAGATTAAAGCATAAACAATATAAATTAGGTGAGAGTAGGTAAAATTGAAACAGAAGGAGGTTAAAGATCAAAGCTCAAACCGATGAAGAGACATCAAAAGCCATACCATCTGTCCTGGGAATTCTCAATAAATGGTCTGGAGAAAGAATGGAAATAAGAGCAACATAGGAGGCTGTTATCCCAGCTGTCCCCCGCTCCTGCCAGGTCTCTAAGCGCTCATCTTAAACTAGCCTCCGACAAGTGAGCCTGATTTGGGGCCACAAAGCTAAATTCAGATCTCACCTCTGGTTTACCCTGAAATTCTTCAAGCTGCCCTGATTCTCCCTAACGACATTATACCCACCCTCCTGCAGCGTGAGGATGCAACCTGTTTCCCTGACAGTGCCTTATGAGCTCGAAAACATCACCGCCATCCCAGGAGGGTTTCATAAACATTCTCCCCAGCCCTGAAAATAGCGTGGATGGCAGCATAAAAACCGACAATAATTCTTTAGTATTATCTCTTGCTTCAGTGCAGGGATATTCTGATAAGATCTTTAATTCAGCACAAATTAACAAGCAACAGTTTGCTACCTGGGCTTCTGACCACAGAGTTTGCAAGCAGGTTAAACGGGACATTTGACCCAGCTTAAGCAGGCATTAAGAAAAGTTCTCAGACTCTTTTAAGACTGCCTTCTACCTGCTCGGAAGGCTGGACAACTCCAGTGGAAAAACAAATGAACAAAAAACCCAAAGCAAACCATATTTTCCACCTAGAAATCATTCTCCTGCCCAAAGCTGAAGATACATTCAGTACCTGCTAATAGTCATGACACTTATAAATAAATTTTCCCTGTGCCTGTATTTAGGACACTATGTAAAGCAACAACATTAAGGCGTTCAAGAGCTTTCCCCAAACCGGATCTGCAAGGCAACTTCGTGCCCAGAAACTTAACCAGCAGGTGAAAGGCCCCAGCATCAAGCCTTACTTCATGGATTTAGCCACCACACACTGGGGGAGCAGGAAGCAGGAATCCAAATTACCTGCCCAGAACGATCTGCTATTCTCCTTGTCAATGCCAACTCCCCTCACTGATTCACTTATGATAACAGGGCTGGCCCTGATAATCCAAAAACTTGGGTTTGCATCTCAGCAGATGAGTACTAGGTGTCTTCAGGGAAGTCATTTCAACCGCTGGGCCCCAGGTCTCTGCCAATCGTTTAGTCAGAATCAAGGGAGCAACTATGTCAACTACGGCTACACTATTACAAAGTGCTAGACTCTTACCCTGACCCTTCAAGGCCTTCCTCAAATCCACTTAGAAGCTGCCCCGTAACACCAATAAACACTCCTCTAGGCCCTTCACGATCCTACTGTCATTTAGCAAAGGAAGGCTATATGTTTAAAATCATGTTTACATAGGGACGCCTGGGTGGTTCAGTCGGTTAAGCGTCTGCCTTCCGATCAGGTCATGATCCCGGGCTCCTGGGATCGAGTCCCACCCATACCAGGCTCCTTGCTCAATGGGGAGCCTTCTTCTCCCTCTGCCTGCCACTTCCCCTCCTTGTACTGTCTCTCTCGCTCTGTCTCTGACAAATAAATAAATAAAATCTTAAAAACATAAAACAAATAAAATCACGTTTACATAAAGCTTCTGGCCAGTTTCCTAACAGCTTCTGGCATTAAAGTACTCTCCATGCAAGACGGGAAGCATGAGAGCAAGACTCCTTCTGAACGCGGACACAGCTCCTCACCAGACCTGCCCCACTAACACTGACTGCATGGCACACATCCAACACACTTTCAAAGGAATGCTTCACGGAAATAAGATGGAATCCCCACACACCCTAAATTCAGTGACCAAGATGCAACCAGATAAGCTGTTCCTCAACAGCATCTGAATAAGACTGTTTACAGGAAGAAATCCTATCTTAGGAGGCATGAGATTCAGGTGCATGGATATTTTAACTAAGTTCAATATAGTCAAATACCTCCAAGACCAGCGAGGAACCAAATCCTGGCGTATTCTGCAGGGCTCCT